TTTAATTGATACCGGGAGAAATTCATATCCGTGATCTCTATGTATAAGCTCACTTTAAAAAAAAGGGGCAATATTTTAGAACTTTTGAAACGTCCTGTATAACCTTCCTATTGGTCCCAAAACCGCACCTACCCTAAAATTTAGTAAAAACTTATTTTCTAGCAAAAAGTTATTATAAAACAAGGGGTGGATACCAACATATCCAGTATTAATGATGGCAAATCACGGATTCCCGCGCGGGATCACGCGCGTTGACCATCACTATACGGTATAAAATTAATAGATCCTTTTGCAATGTAATATAATGTTTGTTTAAATTGTCTTCCTCTCACTTATTTAAGATCCAAAAGCAATGTTAAATAAATTTATAATTCCGGGGTCGCTTTTACATCGCAATGTTAAAATATATGAACCTTAATTTAGGTTAATTCCGTAAATTCGCCGATATGATTCTAACTTATTGAATTAAATGAATAAATATTTTAATCAATCATATTCTTTGTATTTATTTCTAACTTAATAATAACAAATATATTCATGCTCGAAATGCTATTTATACAGATAAATTAATAATGTAAAAAAATGCTCTCAGTAGTCCTTGATACATGTTAAATTATAAAAAATTACTAATATATTAATTTTTACACTAAATAATCTAATTATAATATTTTATATTTTAAACTATAATATGTTATTGAAATATTGTGATACCTGGATTGTTTGATTTTACGTTAAATTTAATATTATTATTTCTAAGATATAAAAATTTCAATGTGGTATTCATACAAAGTGCATCTGCTAGTGCTTTTCCTCCTTCTGAATTAAGTTCATTTTGGTCAAGATCTAAAGAAGTCAGCGTGGTATTCTTGCGAATTGCATCTGCTAATGCTTTCCCCCTCTTGCTCCAAGATTATTTTTGCCAAGATCCAAAGAAGTCAGCGTGGTGTTCTTACAAAGTGCATTAGCTAATGCTTTTCCACCTTCTGATCCAAGATCATTACAACTAAGATTCAAGGATGTTAGCGTAGTATTCTTGCAAAGTGCATCTGCAAATGCCTTTCCTGCAATTGATCCAAGTTCATTAGAACCAAGATTCAGAGAAGTTAGCATAGTGTTCTTGCAAAGGGCATCTGCTAATGCTTTCCCTCCTTCTGACCCAAGTTGATTATCATAAAGTTGTAAATCTTTCAAAGTATTGTTTTTACAAAGAGCATGAGCTAATGCTTTTCCTCCTTCTGATCCTAGATAATTAACACTAAGAGTCAATGAAGTCAGCATGGTATTCTTACAAAGTGCATCTGCTAATGCTTTTCCTACTTCTGATCCAAGATTACTATATCGAAGGTTCAAATTTTTTAGAGTATTATTTTTGCAAAGTGAGTCAGCTAATGCTTTTCCTCCTTCTAATCCCAGTTCATTCCAACTAAGATCTAAAGAAGTAAGCGTCGTATTCTTACAAAGCGCATCAGCTAACGCTTTTCCTCCTTCTGGCCCAAGTTCATTATCATTAAGATTTAAAAAAGTCAGAGCAGTATTTTTACGAAGTGAATCTGCTAATGCTTTGCCACCTTCTGATCCAAGTTCATTAAGACTAATATTCAAAGAAGTCAACGAAGTATTCTTGCAAAGCGCATCTGCTAATGCCTTGCCGCCTTCAGTCCCAAGTTTGTTATCCCAAACATTCAAAGATGTAAGCTTAGTGTTATTGCAAAGTGCTTTTGTTAATTCATTTAAATTTTCTAACCCATATTTGCAAGAAAGATCCCAGGACGAAGCACTTAATCGATCTTCATTACTATGCTGGCCATTCTCTAGAATTTCTTCATAAAGTTCTGATGCTTTGAGAAATTTCCCTTGCACAAAACTTTCATGCGCTTCTTTTCTTATACTTTCAAGAATCTTAGCGTCCATTGTATCAGGTAAATAAAGCGAAGATGATATAGATGATGAAGATGTAATATCAAGTGGATTTGTATTTTCTTGATTACTTGAGGAAATTTCGCTAATTTGATTTAATATTTCAATAGAATGATGTCGACTCGAAGCTCCACTAGGAAGAAGTTCGTTTAAAGTGTCATAAATTAATTTTGCTTCTGGACGAGTAGAAGGTTCTTTATCCCAACATTGCTCATAAAGCTTAATATATTGATTTGGTGTACCTTCTATCGGCTTTTCTCTATTTCCTTGGTAAATATGAATAGCAAGTGAGTAATCTGATTCAAAGTTTTGATATGGTGGTTTTCCACTTGAAATTTCCCAGAGAATTACTCCAAAACTATAAATATCTGATTTCTTATCACGTTTATGCCCTTGCTTTGGTTCTACATATGGCAGCATTCCGTGAGTAGACGAGTTTGAATTCACCTCCTTTAACTGTTTTGATAATCCAAAATCAGCAATTTTTGGCTTTCCATCATGAATTAAGATATTCTTTGAATGCTACGAAATAAAATCAAGGCATTAGTAAACTAAAAATCATAAACGCGTGACATAAAGAATTAATATACTTACAAGATCTCTATGGATAATATCACTATTATGCAAAAATAAAATGCCAAATGCTATTTCCTTAGCGATACGTAATTTGTCTGTCCATTGTAATATTGTAAATTTTGTTTTCAGGTATTCTTGCAAATTTCCGTCATTAGCGAATTGTAAAACCATATTATAGTATCCATTATTATCTGTTTAATTAAAATAAATATTCTTATTTAACATACGTAATTATAGTCATGCATACTCAGAATTTATAAATTACGTGCATACCTTTTGTAATCCCGTAAAATGTAATAATATTTGGATGGTAAGAAACTTTGCGCAATAATTTTAGCTTTAAAGAATACCAAATAGAAATGAACTTAATATTTAGCTTAAAATTTTTTAATTATATAAATAAATAATAATACCTCATCAATAAAGTCATTAATAATTTTCTTATCTAAACTTGGATTTACTTTAAAGCATTTTAAAGCGACCGTTAGTTCACAGTTTTCCCATTCGTGTTTATAAACGTTTCCGAAACCTCCAGATCCAATCAACATGCGATTTGTAAATTTGTTATATTCGAGATAATTTATATGATCATCGACTATGGCTTTTTCAAGCCATTCTGCCGATAGATTTGCCATGACTTTTTTCTTTTTTTCTTTTTCTTTTTTTACCGTTATATTTTTTATCAAAGTTCTGACAATCAAAGGGTATATTTATAAAATTTGAACGATCGACATTCATATGATGAGTGTTTTTTTTTTATGTAAAATCGAAATATCTACGTACGTCATTTATAATTTACGTCATTCATGATTGGTGAAAACTTTTATCCCTTAAACCGATTTGCAAGCAAATTTGGCTACCATTTTTTATTATAAATCACAATATAGGCCTAGGTTAGGGAAGTGTCATTTATCATCTGATTTTTTGTAAATAGTAAAATTACCCCCTCCCTCAAATGATTACAATTACATATAAACATATATACATGTGATCTATTAGCATGATATTTTGGCACCCACCCCCCTGTTAAAAAAATCAGATGATAAATGACACTTCCCTTAGTATTATAAGTAGACTGATAATCGGATTTAAAATTTCAAGACCCTATTGTTTGTTATAAAATTACAAAATTGTAGCAACAATTTTCGTCACGGATGATGCTAAATTTAAAGTTTATTGAATACTATTTTTAAAAATTTTTGTTCTAGCTCTTTTTAGAGTTGGACTATGATTTAGGGTTAGTATTTATAAAAAAGGTTAAAATATATATTTTTAAATTAAGACCCTTAACGGAATAACATAGGGCCAACGGTCATCCGTTGATCTCGCGGAACGATAACTCTGGCCTTAGAGAATCCTAAGGTATATAAGGACCTTCAGGATGCGGAGGGAGGTAAAAAATCAAAAATAAATAAATTGCGACTCCAAATTTTAGCATCATCTGTGACAAATTTTAATTGATATGATTAAATAAATGAGAAAACCGGGTATTTTGCGGCACTAATAAAAAATTATTAAGAAAACAACTTTATGCTTTATAACCTCTGTTTTAATTCTAATTCAGTTGACCGTTCTTTGGTGAGTGTTATTAATATAAGTAGCTGCGCGACGTTGCCACGCAAACAAGAACGGAAAGTATGATCTCAATCTACGAATAAAGTAAGTTGAGTGCTAACTAAGGTATAAAAGTTCACTATTGAGTGATTATTGGAATATTTCATATTCAAAAAGAAAACCATTGAAAGGATCTAGTGCAACTAAAATATTATACGCCAACTTCATTCGGTCAATTATTTATGCAACTTGATAGATTAATGAATTTTCTTTATTCGGATTGAAATTAAAAGTAAATGCTCATAACTTAATCTAAATACTTACATTAATAAAATATTTTTTATCACTCTAAGCACTGCAAAGTAAATAAAATTAATAGTAATGTTTATAACTCATAACTTACAAAAAAACAAAAGATTAACTTTATATGGACTTATGTTAAACTGCTATTACTATTTCTTTCTTCTTCTATAGGATAAATCCGATTAATCCGAATATTATACCCGTAAAATTTGGATCATCTGTAATTTTTTCAGATAGGTTAGTTATGGTAAAAAAACGATATTTGTGATATCAATATTGATTTAATTTTCGTGTAACATTGATTCGGAAGCGATCGTTGATCTTGTGATCTGGACATGGCTAACGCAGATCACTATTTAGATTTGATTTTCTCATAAAATTAAAAATTGCTCGTTTACCGAAAACTCTTCGGTTTCATTCTGTGTAGTGTTGCAATCTGATAATGCATCATCTGTTTCTATTGTCGGATATTTGTCCCAAAAACCGATTTTATCCGTGATCCGATTTGCATAATCCGATCAGTTAATTTATCGTAGGATATTTGTCATCCGATATTATTCGTGATGTATAAATTACATAATAATAAATAATAATAATTAGTATTTAAATTTGTAATATTTTTGCGAACAAAAATACAATATTCAAAGAAAATGTCTGTATCAAGTACTTCGAAAAGAACTTCAGCCAATATGGCTAACCAAATTAGTAAAAAGACTAAAACAGAAACCAATCGTGCTAAAAATAGTTGGATTTGGAATTATTTTGAACTGAAAGAATTGAAAATCGTAAAAGATACTAGTGAAAATATTCACAATAATAGTAATGAAGATAGTCATGATAATAGTGACAATAACAGTAATAGTAATGAAGAAATCGAGAAAACATATCCACCGATTTGATTTTTAGGGGTCTTTTTTCGATAAACGGTTACACAACCTTTTGCCATTAAGTGACGTGAGATAACAAACGAAACATTCAATAAACCCAACTTTTTAGCCTTTATATGAGATAAACAAGCAATAAATACTAAAAAAACAACTACACTAAGCGTAAAAGAAAGCACTAACACTAGTTATTGAAGCGTTCAGGTATATTCGGGTAGTGAATGATCAGTTTGCCATTTGAATGATCGGTTGTATAATGGGTTAGGGCAAATTCGGAAGTAATTTTTCAGGAAAACAGCTTTATTAGCTAATAATTAAGCATGTAGGTATTGCAATATTCTACACACTTAATTATGGCTTCGAAAGGCCACTTTTGTAAAAACTCACCTTGTAATAAATTTTAACAACAAATAATTCTCAATTATGATTTGCTAATTTTGGGGTTAAACCAAATTGGTGGATATGATACCGGTTATTGTTTGTCAATATAAAGATACACCAACCTCTCCTCCTTGTAGTACAACATGTATATGAAAAGATTCTTCAACCGGTAATGCAATATCTCATTTACGCTCAAAACATAATATTAGTAAGGTTTGTATAATATCTATTTTAGGTTAAATCTATGAATCTTATTTTTAATATAGAAAATATATACAGTATATATATTAATTAACAAAATATATTTTATTATATAGTTAAGCGTACATCAGACTTTAAAGAACAAAAAAAATTCTATTACTATTCATTCAGAGAAGCGACAACTTCAACTTCGGCAATATTTTGTTGACTTGTTAATTGAAGCCTGTGTGTTAATTCATATTGTTTCAAATAATGCATTTAGGCATTTTTTAAATGAATTAGATTCTGCATTTTTAATTCCGTGTGAAGAAACTGTCAAAAATATCATCTATGCAGCATATAATTATTCATTTCCACAATTAAAAAACCAAATTATTACAGAAGCTATTTCAGTATCTTTGACTATGGATCTCTGAACAGCAAAAAGCCATCAAGGATATCTTGGTATCACATGTTTTTATGTGGATCAATTTTTTCGATTAAAAGAATTTATGCTGGATATAGTTTATATTAAATATCCTCACACAGCAGAAAATATATCAAATACTGTTAAAGAAATTTTAAAAGATTGGAATTTGCAAAATTTAGCCTTTAATATTACAACTGACAATGGAAGCAATATGAAAAAGGCAGCAAAAAGCTTAAATAATATAAATTAGTTGGGATGTACTGCATATACACTTCAATTAGTTGTTGGCAAAGAAATGAAACCAGCTGAAAAGTTAATTACTTGTGCCAAATGTCTTATTGATTTTTTTTTATGTCCAAAACAAAGTGAGCATTTAGAAGAAGTTCAAAAAAATTTCCTGAATTAGCAGATGAATTAAAAATAGAAGAGTTAGAAAGTGATATTGAAGAAAAATTTATTGTAAGTTATATATTTATATATTATAATTTATATTAATTAATTTAATTTTATAATATATTTTAAATAATTTTAATTTAAAGTATTCAGAAAAAACTGCTAAATAACTTCATGCAATTTTTGATTGCCCTACTTATTGAAATCTCAATACTTGGCATGGATTCAGCTTTTAAAGTTAAAAAAACATATTTATATGTTATTGAATATATTAAGTACAAAGAATAATCAAGATTCTAAAAAAGACTACAAAACTCTTCAAATAATTATGTTATCTGATGAAGAATGGAGTACAATACAAAGTTTTATACCAGTATTACAACCTTTTGCAGAAGCAACAACTCACTTAGGCAGTAGTACTTATTATACATACTTAATAATAAATCCTATTTTAATTAGCATTAAATAACAATTTATGCTATTAGCATTATATAGTGATTTTACAACAATGGTATTAGATTTTCAAATAATAAACCAGTATTTGATGGTACTAATATAAATACAGAAGCAAGAAATCTAAATACTTCATTAAATTGCAATGGGCTTATTGATACAATTCAAGAAACCTTATATATAGCTATGAATTATTATTAGAAAGATCTTACAACACTACAATCTCTTCTTTCTAGTATTTTGGATCCACAAATTAAAAATTTGACTATTGTGTTAGAAGTAAATAAATATGCAACTGAAGAACTATTAAGAGAAAAGTTTATTGAAATGAAGAATGAATTGAGATTAAATAATACATCATCTTTTTCATTAAATTCAAATTTGCAACAAAAGACTGTAATTCAAAAAACAAAGCAATCTAAGACTCTTGCCAATCTTAAAAAAACCCAATCAGCAATACTTGACGAAGTTAGTGAATATTTAAATTAGAAAAAATCAATTTTGAAAGTGATACTTTTAATTGGTGGTATGAAAGGCATGAAAATTTCCAATTCTAAGTAGGTTTGCTAAAAAATATTTAGCAGTCTATACCAGTTTTACAGTATCTGAAAGATTATTTCTGATGCTAGTAATCTTTTAACTATGAAAAAAACATGAATATCTCCTAATCTTTTTAAAAGAATAATGTTTTTAAAAAAAAGCTGTAAATATTTTAATAGTATTCATGCTCCTTTAAATACATAATTATCTTACAAACTTCAAATTATATTAGTTGTTAATTAATAAATCTTAATTTGCTACTTCTACTTAATAATTATTTTTATTGTAAGTATATCGATATATATATAGTACATTTTAATTATACAGTATAATAATAACAGATAATATTAGATTTTTTAAGGATATCCAATTTTAAAAAATTTAATCTAATCAGATAAAAAACAAAACATTATCCACGGATTGGAACACTAATTCTGTGAATCATCTAACTCTCTGAAATTATAATTCTATCTCTATGCTGAAGTTTCAAAGACGATGCCATGACTTCTAAAGAGTTAAATGTAGAGCTATTAAATACGTCCATCTAGTTTGTCATGGTCCAAAGACTGATGGTTTTTTAAAAAGTTACCTTAGCTGCCACAACAATTTGGACCAGCAGATTCTCAATTTTGATTGGCTCAGAGAGACGATCAAAAAATTAGCCTGAAAATAATAGCCGCCCATTAAGTGAAAATTGTTTTTGAGACAATTTTACCATAATGCAGACTTATTTTTTAAGTTAATTTCAGCTAGTGATGCCTGACAAAACTATTTTCATATAGACAAAACATATTCATCTTTGGTTTTATCTAATGTAACCAAGACGAATGACGAAACTATAGATGAATGATGAAACTATAGATGAATGACAAAACTATAGATGAATGACAAAACTATAAATGAATGATGAAACTATAGATGAATGATGAAACTACATCAGCAAATTTAATAGGGCGTAATATTGTGCAATAATTTATGAAGCGTGAAAAAACTGTAATATTACATAAAAACTTTCGCAATATTGCGAAATATACAATTACAAAATATTACGTAAGATTATTACGCAATATTACACAAGAAATTATGCAATTTTACGTAAATATTCGAAATAATTCGAAACAGATCAAGATGAATAACTATTAACTATGAGAGCAAAATAATTTGAAATAGTTCGAATCATATTAAAAATGTTTAAAAAATTACATTAA